TTTTCACAATAGCTAAGAGATGGAAGCAACCTAAGTGTCCCTCAATTGACGAGTGGATAATGAAAATGTGGTTCAATATACGATGGAGTTTTACTCAGAGTAAAGAAAGATGAAATCATGAAATTTGCAGGTAAATGAATGAAACTAGAAACTGTTATACTAAGTGAAGTAACACAGACTCAGAAAAAAAATCGACGTATGTTCTCCCTCATATGTGGACCCTAGAACCAAATCCTGATAAGTGAGTATGTATCCAGACATAACTACAGGAACCAGGATAATGGAAAGGAACAGGGAGGTAAAGGAAAAGAAAGAACCTGAAAGAGAAGATCAGTAAGAAACAGGCCTTAATAAGGGAGATATGGATAAAAATTGGGTTAGTTTAAGGGAGGGGGGAGGGATGGGTATACAAGGAACCTAGGGGATAAAGGGAAAGAAGGAGCTCAAGAGAGGTAGGACCATAGGAGAAGGGTATTAGTAAAGGAGAGAGGGGGGAAATGGGGACACCTTAAGTGGGAAAATCATGATGGAGGGGTGAGACCATGCGAGAGATAAACAATGCCTAGCTAGTTTTGAAAACCAGGAGAAACCATATTAGTCCAACAACCTACTGACAAATTATACATATATGTCTAGGTAAGGTTTATCTGAGAACAATTGGTCTTTGCCCAAGATTTATCTACATGACACACAGTCATTAAATGTACCAGACTTGTGGAACTAACCTTCTTGGATGTTTAACAGACATACTTTGAGGCCTATAATAATAGGCAGTTTTTGCTGCCTATTAATAAAGGACAAAGGCAATCAAAGAAGCAAACAGAAATCCCACAGAATGGGAGAAAATCTTCACCAGAGACAAATCTCACAGAGGTTTAATAACCAGAATTTATAATGAAGTAAAAAAACAGAGAACCAAGACAAGAAGCAACCCAATTAAAATATGGGCTAAGGAGCTGAAGAGAGTTCTCAAAAGAAGAAGTAAAAATGGCTATGAAGCATCTTAAAAGATCTTCAACATCATTAATAATTAGGGAAATGCAAATTAAAACTACTTTAAGATTGTATCTTACCCCAGGCAGACTGGCTAAGACCAAGAGAACAAATGATACCAAATATTGGAGAGGATGTGGGGAAAGGGGAACACTCATCCACTGCTGGTGGGGCTGC